GAAATTACCATCTTTTCTATATTTATTAGCATTGTTTATATTTTTTCAAAAGTGTTATTTATATATGACTATTAGCTATACTATTAGCTATGTGAAATTTATTTCCCTTTATAAAAGTTTAGTAGAGCGCTATCAATTCTTAATATTATTTCTTAATATTATTTACTTCAGTTATATTTATTACATAAAAATTTTATTAAAAGTTATTAAAAATGTTGATTTATAAGGTAAGTAATTGTCTAGTTACATTATAATTTATAATAAGTTTTACTTGTTTTTTGGAAAAATTCTATTTTCTAAACCCTTTTTTAAGTCCTTTTTTATTTATATAAAAGAATAATTTTTTTTCTTCTATGTACTTCTTTTATCTTTCGCTCATTTAATATCGTCGTCAGCTCCATCTGCTGTCGATTGTTGCCACCACAAGGGCAGAAGCTCTAGTCCCAAGTCGCTGCTGGCGCCTGCTTGCCATCTTGGCGAGACTGACGCCTCGTCTGAAATTTCGTAAACAGTTTTGCATTTTGTTTGACCGCGCTTGAAGTGACGGGAACACTATGTCGAAGCGCAGGATTGAGGTCGTGGATCCCTATGTCAAAAGGAAAGCCACGTAAGTGTATCAACGTGTTTTCGTTTCGCAGACGACGCACGATGGCGGGCAGTCCCTTTTTGCCATGTGCAATGTCGCGGCATCGTATCGGACGCGTGCTCGTATGCTTATCACACGATATCATTCATGCGATAATGTCCGCGATCTGTGTCCTGTCACGTGTGCGTGATTTTTTGTCGGCGTTTATGGACGACCAGCGTCGAATGTGACGGGTTTGTTATTTCGACAACCCTCACTTCCGGCGACAGAGGAGGCTCTCGTACTTTCTGTAACGGTTCTCGTCTGACCTATTTCGCATTCGCAACAAAAAATAAACCTTTAATTTAAATAGTCGCTTTTTGTTAGCGAGCATATCATGTATCACAGACACTTGTTTGCACGCATTGCCATAATTTTCATAAACTTATGTATTGATGTCTGCATTGGTAATTATTATCAGTTTCACTTGTAATCTTTTTATTTTGAAGGCGCTTATTTTTATTTCATTGCATTGTTATTCAGTATTATTGTTTGCTGAGTACTTGAACTATTAGAATAAAAAGTGTTACATAATGATCATTTTGCAGGGACAGTACCGTTGCCAATAATATAACAACTCCAGGGACAACGGCAGCAAAAAGCCAAGTGCAGTTCAATCCATATACCATGCTGCCGTATACGCCGAGATATTATGAACTTTACAAGAAAAGAATAACTTTACCTGTATTTGAATATCGTACTGATTTCATGAGATTGTTGTCTCAGCATCAATGCATTGTTCTTGTTGGAGAGACAGGTTCTGGCAAAACTACACAGATACCACAGTGGTGTGTAGAGTATTCAAGAAGTATTGGATCCAAAGGAGTCGCTTGTACACAGCCTAGAAGAGTGGCTGCAATGAGCGTTGCTCAAAGAGTTTCAGAAGAAATGGATGTTGCCTTAGGTATGTATATTACACAGGAAAATTCTAAAAAGAATTTCGTAAAAGAAATTCTGAAAACAATATTTTAATATTATCAGAAACAATGTTGTGATGGGAATAATAAATTTAAAAAATTGACGTAATTTTTGGTAGGTCAAGAAGTAGGATACAGCATCCGTTTTGAAGATTGTAGTTCACCGAGGACTGTGTTAAAGTACATGACCGACGGTATGTTGCTTCGGGAAGGGATGTCTGATCCCATGTTGGATGCCTATCAAGTGATACTGCTAGATGAAGCTCATGAAAGAACATTAGCTACTGACTTGCTGATGGGTGTTTTGAAAGAAGTGATCAAGCAGAGACCGGACTTAAAACTTGTGATTATGAGTGCTACCTTGGACGCTGGAAAATTTCAACAGTATTTTGACAATGCTCCACTTATGAACGTACCTGGTAGAACGCATCCAGTCGAGATATTTTATACACCAGAGCCAGAGAGGGATTACTTGGAAGCAGCAATAAGAACTGTTATTCAGATACAGATGTGTGAAGAAATTCCTGGGGATCTTTTGCTATTTTTAACTGGTCAAGAGGAAATTGAAGAAGCTTGCAAGAGAATAAAAAGAGAAATGGACAACTTGGGACCTGAAGTTGGTGAATTAAAGTGCATACCATTGTACTCGACACTGCCGCCGAATCTTCAACAGAGAATATTTGAACCTGCTCCGCCTACCAAAACTAACGGTGCTATCGGCCGCAAAGTTGTCGTTTCGACCAATATCGCAGAGACATCATTGACTATCGACGGAGTTGTCTTTGTCATAGATCCTGGTTTTGCCAAGCAAAAAGTAAATTCGACTTTAATTAATACAAATCAATAATCTTGGAACTTTCATCAGCATGAACCTATTATTAATTTTTAATGATTTTTATTAATAGGTATACAATCCTAGGATTCGTGTCGAATCTCTTTTAGTGTCACCTATTAGTAAGGCTTCAGCGCAACAGAGAGCCGGTCGTGCTGGTAGAACAAGGCCTGGAAAGTGTTTCAGATTATACACAGAAAAAGCGTATAAAAACGAGATGCAGGATAATACCTATCCTGAGATTTTGCGTTCTAATCTTGGAAGTGTCGTATTGCAATTGAAGAAACTTGGCATCGATGATTTGGTACATTTATCATAATATATTATTAAAATAATTATTTATTTTTTGTTTTTAAATAATATCGTTCTGTAAAAGAAATGACTTTATCGTATGTTGTGCAATAGGTGCATTTTGACTTTATGGATCCACCTGCGCCCGAAACTCTTATGAGAGCTTTGGAACTTTTAAATTATTTAGCAGCTCTGGATGATGATGGAAACTTGACAGATCTCGGCGCAGTAATGGCGGAATTTCCTTTGGATCCCCAATTAGCAAAGATGCTTATAGCTTCTTGCAATCATAATTGCAGTAATGAGATACTCAGCATTACTGCTATGCTCTCAGGTAACGTATTGGGGTTTGCTATATGTACTAATATCGATTAATCATTCATTAATATTAATATTTTAATAATAGTTTTTATTTTTTATTTATATTACTTATATTATCTATTACATAATATAAATAAAATATATATAAAAGAGTTCTAAAAGTAAAGTAATAGAATCAGAATTGTGGTAAGATAACATGGTAGTATATTGATGATTGACATGGTATTAGTCCCACAGTGCTTTGTGAGGCCGAATGAATCGAAAAAAGCAGCAGATGATGCAAAAATGAAATTTGCACACATTGATGGTGACCATCTGACGCTACTGAATGTATATCATTCTTTCAAACAACGTAAGTGCTTATTTCTTATTTTTGTCATGAAATATAGTTCGAGCTTTATCAATGACGAATTGTTTACAGATATGGATGATGTTCAATGGTGTTACGATAATTATGTAAATTATCGATCGCTGAAGAGCGGAGATAATGTAAGACAACAATTAAGTAGAATAATGGATAGATTTGTATTAAAACGCACTTCGACGGACTTTAATTCAAAAGATTATTACATTAACATCAGAAAAGCTCTCGTTAATGGTTTCTTCATGCAGGTAACATAAATATCGATTTACACTATAATGAGTTTCTCTACATCTGCCCAATTATGTTTTTTTAATGTTAAATCTTGATTTTATTATTTCAACAGGTAGCGCATTTAGAGAGAACAGGACATTACCTGACTATCAAAGATAACCAGGTAGTGCAACTTCATCCGAGCAGTTGTCTCGATCACAAACCAGAATGGGTTATTTATAATGAATTTGTGCTCACTACTAAAAATTATATCAGAACAGTCACTGATATTAAACGTAAGTTATTCTCATATTTTATTAGCAAATATATGACGCTATATTATTTTTCCCTCTATTGACTTATCAATTGTTTCTGTCAATTTTTCATTATTGAAATTTTATATATTCTTTTTATAGCTGATTGGTTACTCATGATAGCACCACAATATTATGATCTACAAAATTTTCCTCAATGTGAAGCAAAAAGACAGCTCGAGCTCACTCAGGCGAAGTTAGATTCTAAACAATATCAGGAAGGCTTCTAACCTCTATATACTTTAGACGTGTTTGGAAATCGCAAGAAACAGTCGAGATTGCTCAGTCAAAATCTGCTTTTATCATGGCGAATTTCAGCACACGACTCTTCTATTGGAGCCACATCACATACAAAACATTGTGAGACACATTATGAAGAATCACTTTCTGTCCTTCACCCAAAAGGCACAGAAAAACATTAAGATTCAAATATTTAGATTTTTGTATAAGTCAGTGACTGGCTTGTACTATGTAAAAATTGAATCTTTGAAAGTTAATTTAAATTTTCGATATTTAAGTCAAAAGATAGAAAGGAAATGGACAATTTATTAACTTGAGACACAGCAAAAGCAAAGTTAATCGATAAGAGGGTTATTTATGTACATTTAAGACAAGATTTAGTCTCTAAGTAATTTTAACGGTAGAGCTCATTAATCGACGTCTACATTCGAAACACATTCGGAATGTCATTAGATATAATAGATTAATTTTTGTATTAAATGTTGACCGTATAATGTGAGGAAGGTATAAAGTGGCCACTATATAGAGTGATCTTTTACTATTCTAAGAGAAGGAGTGATTTTTTCCTCACATTAATTCAAGAGAAAAATTTTATATAATCATGGCTACGTTCCATTTAACGTTCGCAACATTCGCGAGTGTCATTTATTCTTGTTTAACATTTGATAAACAGCAAAAATGAAATGATTCCACGACACATTGTGAGTTGCATTAAATGGATTGCAGCATATGTCCTCGAAATATCTTAGTAGGGTGTCAAAAGTATAGAATGTCAAAATTGAAGAAATATTGCGAAAAACTATTCAGGTTATTTTGATGAAATTTTGTCTATGTTTTAGAACTATACATTATTTTTTTGATCAGAAACAGATTCAAAGATAAGTATGTATTTTTGAAACTAGCCTTCGGATATTTTCAAATTTTCATTTTGAATTAATACGAGAAATCATC